TAGGATCCAAACCCGCGGCGGGAGCGCTGCTGTGCTCCCAGCGCCGCACTCTCCTGAGTGCGCCGCAGGCTCGGCCCTGGAAACCTAGGTTTTAACCCCAGCTCAGCCACCAGCTGGCAGGACACCTGACCCCTTTGTGCCTCGGTTTTCCAATCTGTGAAGAAGGCACTAAAGATGCCTCTCTTCAAAACCTAAAATTCTATGATGGTCAGATAAAGCCAGGGCTTTCCTCTGCTCTATGTTGCCTTTTCTCCTCATCTGTGAAATCAGTACAGGACACCCCTGGCAAAGGGATCCAAGGACAGAAGCCCCCATGTGGCCACCCCTACCAGTGTCAGACCCAGACAGGCTTACCATGATGGCAATGTAGTGGCGCCAGGAGCTGGCCAGGGCCCCATCCGTGTGTAGCAGGAGGTAGTGTAGGCGCCAAAAGCTGCTAAGGTAGTCAGGGTGCAGGCCCATTACCACTGCCAGGTTGTCCACCCGCCCTGAGGACATCAGTGCCTCCAGCCCCAGGTGCTGCTCAAGGCTCTCAGCCCCCTCCTGAAGAATCTGCCAAGCAAAGGGGAGGAGAGCATGGTTTCCCTCCTGCCCCCCCCCCNCTCCTGAAGAATCTGCCAAGCAAAGGGGAGGAGAGCATGGTTTCCCTCCTGCCCCCCCCCCAAAGAGACCAACATATTCTTTGTGGTGGGTTTATAATGGTAAGAAACTGAAAACAAGCACCATGTCCAAAAAAGGGCAATAGGAAGGAAAAGATGTTTCAATAAGTGATTAAATAAACACTTATTAGGCACCTTATATAATAGGCAATACTTCCATGATGCTTACCATGTGCTAGCACTGCTTAAACACTTTATATGGATTAACTCATTTAATCCTCACAACTATGAAATTGGAATTCTGTTTTCTCCACTTTTAGATAGGAAAACTCAGGCACAGATTAAAGTACAATTTCTCCTGCCTTCATGGAGCTTCTAGCACTGCGAATGCATACAACCATGGGGGTTGGGGGGTTGGGTGCCAAATAGTTCATATTTCCTGAATGCTTTCTCTATGCCAGGTCTGAGTTTGGAGCTTTCCCTGCATTATCTCATTGAATCTTCTCAATAATCCTGTGAGGTGGATACTATTATTTTTCCTTATTGACAGAGGAAGAAACCAGAAAGGTGTTGTTCCTTGCTCAAGGCCACAGGTCTGGTAAATTACAAAACCAGGCTTCAAATCTAGATGAACTCTAAAACCTATTTTTTTTTTTATTATAAAAGAGTGGTTACTTATAAATGAAAAAATAAAATACTAGAGCACTACTTGAGCTTAAAAGTCTGGGCTACAGACACAAATAATCAGCAGGCCGTTGTTCACCTTACATTTACAAAGGACAGGGTGAAGGGAGAATTTAGACTTCTGTTAAAAACTCTTTTTTGCCACCTGGCTGGTAAGGGGATCAAAACCCTTGACCTTGGTGTTATAAGACTGCGCTCTCACCAACTGAGCTAACTGGCCAGCCCATATTAATAACTCTTTAACTACTTGGCCTACACATTTAGAAGAGCTAAGAGGACAGGAAACAAAAAATTAATCCTTGCTTACTAAAGGCCACAGAAAAATGAGAAAACTATCTTTAAAATTTTCTGTGCATGTGTTTTGAAGATATTCCCACCATCCACAAACTAGAATGTAAGCTCCATGATGGCAAGAATTTTTGTCTGTCTTGTTCACTGCTGTATGCCTAGCACCCAGAACAATGCTTGCCCCAGATTAATCATTCAGTAGATATCTATTAAATAAATGAATGAACTGACTCAGCAGACAAAAGATGTTGTGTTATTAAGTGAAAAAAAAAAAAAAAAAACCCAACAAGTTATAACCTATGATCTTAGTTCTGCACTAAAAATAAGTAATAAGTATCTGAGGGCCGGCTCACTTGGGAGAGCCTGGTGCTGACAACACCAAGTCAAGGGTTAAGATCCCCTTACCAGTCATCTTAAAAAAAAAAAAGTAATTAAGTATCTGTATGAAAAAAGGTCCAAATGGTTAGTAGTGATGATCTCTGCAAGAGTGGGATTACAGGAGACCAGAGCTTTGTGAAACACTGAAAATTTTAAAATAATGAATATACTTTT